ATAGGATGATGTGCGGTGGCTGAACATTCATTTTCCTCATAAAGCAGGCTGGTATGGTTTTTTTTCGGGATGTTCAATCTTGGCGTCTCCAAGTTCAAGTTACTTACTTCCCCCTTCTCGTTCTTCCGTTCAGCTTTTTTCATCACAAGCCACTGAAGTTCTTCAACTGAGATTTCGGCGTTAATTCAACTTCGAAATTTTAATAGACGTCGCACGAATTCCCGTCCCGAATAAGCTTGATTTGGAGAACACGAGTTCTCATATTTACATCGATGACTGCACTAACAAGAAATTCCTGGCCTAACGATGGGAAGAAACGTTCTCACATTCCAAGAATGCCTGTTTGGGTGGCAGGTCTCAGGATAGCACAAATTGTGAGCGGAACTGATACTTTTTGTCATCCGACAGACTTCGGAAACGGGTTGGTCTGCAAGATGAAGTTTAATGCTAATGTTTTGGCTGCCTTGAATCATAGGTTCTTTCGACTGTAGTAGTAGCGTTGACTGCCTGGGGACTCATCACTATGCAAAAGACAACAGGTTCTCAGAGGATAACAGTCAGTTTCATTCCGAACTACTTTTTGCCTGGGTCTCTTCTCATCCCAAGAGCCAGAATCAGTCGTGCTTGCTGACAGTAACTCTCATGTTCATAGTCCTTCAGCGGCGCTGAAGGCTTCCGTACGTTTCCCAGTTGCACAATACTTTCTCTTTAGTCTTCAGTCTCCATTGACCAATAGATCAGCTCTCTCTTGGTTCGCCTTTGCTTGGACTTTGACGTACATAACGTGGCTTGGGGTCGCAGTGACCTTCATTTCCACCATGTACAACAGCTGGGTACATCTGTAAGACTCAACCAGTAAGAGAATTGAGGATGGTCTGTTGATTCAGTGACTTCTCAGTGGCCTGGAAATCTTTTCCGTCATCATATGGCTGGTTTGTCTCGCTCTTTTCGCCAGCCACGCAGACAATCTCGCCTCCATCGACGCATTCGCTTCAGCTTTCGGCACCCAATACAAGGCGTTTTTCAACTTGGATATCAAGCAATACTCCCAAGCCTTTATTACTGCAACAATCGCAGCAACAGCTGTTACGGCGGTCATATTCGTGCTATTCTTAACGAGTGCTTTTGCATTTAGTGCGTTGCTATATCTTATTCATGAAAGGAGTCAGCTAAAACTAATCATGCTAGGCCGCGAGCTGTATCGCCATCGGCGAGGAAAAGTCAGAGGAACGGACGAAGCCATTGGACCGGAATCTTCGGACCGTCGGAAATCATCGAATCCAAGCGCTCCTGACGATGACGAACTGGGACATCGCCAGCAGGCCCCAGAGCTACAGGCGTGTGAAGTTTTAGAGACACAGGCGCCTGATCCGCGTTATCATATCGCAGAGTTGGAAGATTCGAGACGAAGAGTGGAGTTGGAGTGACAGAGTGGCTTGTAGCCGATACAGGTAGCATGACTTCAGACTGCGATAACGTAGAGGGCGTAATCTTTTGTGGCCATCTCTCTTGCCGGAACAATGCTCTCGATGGTAGTATTGAACACAGACAACACCCAGTGAGAATTAGATAACTCAAGCGAAATTGGAAAGGCCTCTAAAAAGTCATTGGAGTTCAAATAGCCGCGTTAGAATGAACCACCACGAAGAGCTTGAGAACTGTGTTACTACATCTGGCGAACAGGGTGACATTCACCTCTCGATATCTTCACAGCAAAGAGACCAGGTCAAAAGCAGCTAGATATGTAATCAAAATATAGCGATAGCACCAGGCGGGCTTCCTATTCCCCCTTTCAAGTGCAAAGGTGCACTGGTCAGAAAGAAGGACCATCTTTCATGTTCCTCGCATAGTTCCGCCAACGTCTCAAGATCCCACAACTCTCCGAGAGGCGTTCCCCACCAAACAAGCGCAAACTCGTGGATTACAAACGGAGTCCCTGCTGGCGGTGGCCAAGCTTCAAAAGAAACAGTGTCACCCGCTAGCGCAGCGAAATGCTTGCTGTAAAGCCACCGTACCGTCTCTTCGGTAGATGCAATGCCGATGGCAGGACCCCCAAACTTCATCCCTTTGCGACGTTCTTTTTCGGAAGACTCATTGTACCTCTTGATGTAGCCAGTGCGCATGATTAAGATGTCTCCGGGTCGGCATTCTGTACCTTGCTCGGCAAGAGCCGCCTGGATATCGTTGACTCCGATCGGGCTTGTAGACCAGGCGTCTGGTAGTTTTCCATCGCGCCTTTGGTAGTATCGTACCTTAAAACGCATTACGTCAGTACCAATCCTTCTGCTCGAACGCTCGCTCGCGATCTTTTGTGGCCTCACATACCATGTCAGCCAATATACCACGGCCTGTAATGCCTCCGGCCTGACACCAGGTATGTATTCCATTGGTATGTGTCTTCTTAGCTTGTTCGTATGTCAGACCTCCGTAGAAGACCTGGCTCTTTTGATGGGCGAACTATGAGCCGCATGAGATCTTGCTATTCGTATGGTCTTGTCGTGTACCTACGTGTTTCAGGCTATCCCATTGCGAGCTGCCCTGAGTGTTGATATGTATCTCATCATCCAAGACGAAGGCATTAATGTCTGGATTCTCAGAGGCATCCAGTATTGTGTGCTGTAGTTCTCTTCGACCGAAGCCTGGAGACTTGAATGAATCCAGAGGCCAATCAAGTTGAACCCGGCGACCGGTTTGAATCTCGCAGGCGGCTTCTTTCACGACATGAGGCGTCAGAAGGTTCAAAGCTACAGTTCTTTAGCAGGCGCCAAAACCACTCTCTACCATACATTCTTACAGCCAAGCTCGTCCTTCTTGCCATTCCTGTCATAAAAGCCCCAAAGACATCCTTGAGGCGCACCTGGAACTACAGGAAGTTCATCAAACGCTGGGAAGTGGTGTTCCATATTAGCACAAAACTGCAATCGCCGCTTAAGACGAGTAACTTTGACGGTTTACCCGGGTGGATAATTGAGGCTTGGCGCGAAGATGCGAACCATGACATTCATATACTAAATCAAATAACTAGATTTCGGGTAAAGATTTCCCTAATAGTGCAACCACCCACCACATGCAGCGATGATTGTCTCGATGCGTGTGCTTGCATGCAACCCCGCCCTGAGAACCACTTGATGATGATGTTGATGTCATAAGATCGCCCGTGCAGCTTGTTTCATTTGGCTCGCAGATGTCCACACAAGTGGCATCAAGTAATTTTCGAGCAGTTATGTGTTTGAAGCCCGTCGGGTTTTTTCCCCTTTTTTTTTTTTCTTTTTTCTTTTTGCTATTCTGCAGACTCAGCTTAGTTTCGCTACTACTACTTTAGCGAATGAGCAATTGAAGGTCCTTATTTTGCGACATGAGGCTTTCGAAATTCCATCCTCTTCTTTGGCATCCTTCTCTGATGCGTTAAAGGCGAGTAACACTGCGCACTACGCCTTTAAGCGTGCATCCGGGCCCCTTCAGCATGAGCATCTTCAATTGCACTAATGCAAGCCACCTGTCGTAGAGTATCGTGGCACCTACCAAAACCCTACTTAGTAGCTCTGAGCTGTTGGTTTCCACGCTAATCGGGCAGAACTCTGCGTTGTGCAACAACCGCACTGCCTGGAACTTCATGTCACGATGACCTCTTGGGTTCGCTTGGGGCTACGATCAGGCTTTCTGCAGGTGATGACTCATCCAATTAAGAGTCAAGGTTGCGTGCAACCTGCAGGTCCTGTGACACTTATTAAACGTTGGTTCGTGCCATCATCCTACTTCTTCCCCGCACAGGAAGATGGTCTGATCCATGCTCCTCGCCGAGTCTTTCTCTCATTCAACATACGGCGACTTTCCGTCAAGCAATGCTCGCCGAAATCATTGGACGGCCGCTTTGCACAAAACAATCTCTCATCTCGGACTTTAAGAAACTCGGAATAGTCGAAGGCGAGACCCTCCTGCTCCATTCGTCCCTCAGCCGCCTCGGGTGGGTGAACGGCGGCGCCGAAACGGTCATCTCTGCTCTCCTCGAAGTCTTGGGAGATGAGGGGACGCTGGTAGTACCGACATACACAGGGGACAACACCGATCCCGCGGAATGGAGGTCTCCCCGCGCGCCCCGAGAGTTGTGGCAAACGATCCGGGACACAATGCCTCCGTATGATCCGCGTATCACCCGGACTCGGGGGGTGGGAGCAATTCCAGAAATGTTGAGGAATTGGCCCGGAGCCATGAGAAGTGCCCATCCTCAGACGTCGTTTGCTGCTGTTGGGCTCCAGGCAGGCGAAATCACTGCCGGACATGCGCTCGATTGTCGCCTAGGAGAGAAAAGCCCGCTCGCCAAGTTGGAGCAACTTGAAGCTCGCATCTTACTGTTGGGCACCGGATTCGATACTTGTACGGCGTTCCACTTGGCAGAGTACCGTGATGTCGCTCCACTGGAGAGCAACTCATTCGCTGCGGTAGTGGAGGGCTCCCGGCAATGGGTGACGGTCAGAGACATCACTCTTAACGATGACGATTTTGGGTTCATTGGTAAAGGTCTAGAAAGAACTGGGACTGTGAAGAAAGGATTGGTTGGTGGTGCATGTTGTGGGATATTTCCGTTACGAGAGGCAGTGAGCTTTGCGACAGACTGGATGAGAGCCAATCGGTAAAGAATGCTACATGGAATGTGTCGATGGAACACTCGTAACACACGCCGTACATAAACTCTAGAGAATACAAGAGACGGGGAACAACAAATTTCACTCCATGGATCCATTTTGCACACGCGGTCAAATGCAGCCCATCGAAACATCGTTGTTAATTAGTCTGTACTGAAGGGCGCAATGACATGTTCAAGGGCGTAACGACTGGTCGATAAACCGGATAGCCGGTCCGGATCACCTCGACGTGCCGGCCGGATTTTGTGGATTTCATCGGGTGAGATTAATGATCCTCGGAGACGTCTTCCGAGCAGATTAAAGACATCGAGGACGATGCATTTTCGAGAAAGGCACATAGCTTCAAATTCCAGCATCATGAACGGCAAAATTGACGTAGCGCCCAGGAAATTGCGGCCTCTGGGTAAGTCTAGCTAAAGGCCGAGCGTAGTAGAAAGCAAAGTAATTCATTTGACACCTGCAGGCCTGTTGGAGCGATACTCGACAGTCAGAAGCCACCGCGGAATCTACAACAACGTCTGCGTCGCTGCAGTCTATAGATGTTCCTACAACGGAGATCTTCTGCAGGCTCTATGGCGGGCTGTTAGTGACGTGGTTGCCCAGCACCCGATCTTGAGTGCGACTCCCGTTGATATCGATACCAAAGATCCTCGGTTCATCTCTCTGCCAATCACCGAACCCGAGCAAGTCATTCAGTTGAGAAAATCTCAAACGGTCGTCACCGACCCTCAGTTTGAAGCTGAGCTGCAAGTGACGCTCGAAAAGCAACACAATACGCCGTTCGAGCACGGCGCGACCCCACAGCCCTTCTGGAGACTAGAGGTTCTGGATGACCGGACCAACTCTGGAAGTTTCGTGGCTTGTCTATGCTTTCATCACTCACTGATGGACACTAAGAGTGCCCTAATCTTTCATGAAGACCTAGAGAAAGCTCTGAATCAGTCGTCTATAACGACCCATTCGAAAGATGCGCTGCTTCCGTCACTAGAGGCCGTCTATGATCTGCCGGTTTCAGAAACCTTCGTTCAGCAGGCATCGAATTACATCGAGTCGCTAGCCAAAGTCTGGAGCAGTGCACTGCAGAAACTTCCTGTGAGAACCTGTGTCAGGCTGTTTTGGGTCTCGGGAGAAGTTGCCGAAAGCTTCAGAAAGCACTGCAAGGGAGAGAAAACATCTGTCACGGCTGGTATAATGGCCCTCCTGGCAGCAGCATTCTTCAAAGTTCTCCCCGACAACTACGATACGTTGCAGGGCGACTGTGCTGTATCCCTGCGCCATCTACTGCCGGGCCCTATCAACGATAGATCATTAGGATGTTATGTTGGATCCTTCAGCGAACAGTATTCCCGGAGCGCGGATCCGGCGTCGATGTGGTTCGACGCTAGACGGACAAAAGCGACGATTGATGAGGTTACGAGAAAACGTGGAGCGGATATGCCTGTCGGGTATCTACGTCACGTCGCCGATGACATGTCGGGATGGTTATCTGGAAAGCTGGGGAAGAAGCGGGCCGCTGCGTGGGAGATAAGCAATGTCGGGGTTGTCGGCTCCGCTGGAAAAGTGACTGAGACTGGGTTCAAAATGGAGCGGATGATGTTCAGTCAAAGTGCCAGCGCAACCTCTGGAGCCGTCAAGGTTAGCGTCGTGACTGGGAGAGACGGGCAACTCGGCTTTGCTTTTTCGTGGCAGGAAGGTATTGTGGAGGAGCGTTTGGCTGAAGAGGTCGTCTCCACGTTTAGAGAGTTGCTACTAGCACTAGTATCTGAGGGCGGTCGCTGAAAAGACTAGATTCGATACTATGTTCATTGCATCTACTGTATCAGCCAATCATCTTCCAAGGTACGATCAGCAATTTCGAGGTTAGCCGGCGCCACAACCGGCTAGACGTCGACTATCATTTCAATGAACCGGGCCGGTTCTTCAAGACAGATTCCCGGTCCGACACAGCACGGTGAGGTCTGTAGCTGACTCAAGCGGACAGATCCCACCACTAGTTGTTAAACCGGTAGCCAAGTGGTTGTTAAGGCATTCTTATATATGCTATGTTGAAAATATGTCCAAAGAATATCCGGTATCAAATTATGTACACCAGTTTAAAGACCGAAGAACTTCATGTCATCGTCACCCCGGATAGGGACAGTGTGTCCAACACCAACAGCCCAAACACCGGTGAGGTGGTCGCCAAAGACATCTGTGCGGTAGTTGGCGATGGGCGTGTTCGCAGACGAAGTGACGGGCTTGTCGGGGTTGTAGCCAAAGACACCGGACCACTGCTTGATGGTCTCCTGGTAGTTCTTGGCGTTAAGCGTGGTGTCGACGCTGCCGTGGTAGATCTGCATGCGGGGGCGGGACCCAGTGTAGCCGGGGTAGGCGTCGGTGACCCATTTAGCCCAGGCGGCGGGCGTAGCAATGGAGTTGCCCTGCGAACAGGTGCTGTTCCAGCCGTTGATGGTGCCGGTGTAGAAGCAGCCGGCCGGGACGCCGTTGTAGACGATGCCAGCAGCAAAGACATCGGGGTAGGTGGCGGCGAGGACGTTCTGACAAGGTTAGCAGAGGACGACACTATTGACAGGTTGCGGTCAACTTACGGTCATCATAGCACCGGATGAAGAGCCAGTAACGAAGACCTTGGACTTGTTGCCGTTGTACTTGTTGAGAGTGTACGAAACCATGTTCGCAATGGAGTTGCTATTAGCTCCGCCATTATGAGTGAGTGTCGCCTTAGACGAGACATCCCAACAAGTTCCCGAGTAGGGCGACTCGGGGTAGATGACGATGAAGCCCTTAGAGTCGGCGAGAGTCTTGTAAGGGCTGTTGTTGTAGTAAGCCTGGGCAGTGCCGGTGCAGTAGTGAATAGCGACGACAACGGCCGGGTTCGTGGCAACTTTGTCGGGGACGTAGATGTACATCTTGACGCCGCTGGGGTTGGAGCCGAAGTCGGTGACCTGCTGCAGCGAAGCAGCGCTGGCGGCGCTGGCCAGGCCGAAGAAGGAAAGAATGTTGCTGAACTTCATGGCTGATTTGATTGGATCGCAAACTGCTTGACAAACTGCTGATCGTCCAGTTCCCACTTGTCAAACTCGACTTGGCTTCTGGGTATTTATGGTCCCGCGAGGATCAAAAACGAAGCTGATCAGACAATCGCCTTGTTGTGCCGCACCATGCAACTTTTGTAGACTTCCCTTCAGCCGCTCATAGACGACGTCAGGGGTCGCAAGTCGTTTGTGTAAAACCCGATCATCTCGGTCCCCCACATCCAGGGTCGTCTTGGAAAGGGGGGCAATTACCAAAAGAGTCGAATTGGGTAGGGGGAATAAGAATTTAGCCGGAAGAATTGGCCACTAAGCGGACTCTTCGTCCGAAGAGAGTAGCCCGCAGGAACGGGTTCATCTGGAAAAAAAAAAGCTTCTTCGGCACTTGCGGAAGCCTCCGAACAGAACCTGGTATGGTCTCAACTTTAGATGCCGAGAGCCGCTGCTTAGCGTGGCTGCATGGTTCCTTTTGCGAGAGAGAGTCCGGGGGTTGCCTTGCACTTTTGCGGTGGTTGCGCATTGCCGATCTGCTGGATAATCTGGCTGTGCCAATTTGCCGGCAACACCAGCCACGGAACATGCTCCCGTGCTTGGCGCATTGAACCGGGAATCCCGGGCCAGAGCAGTGACTTTTGGGACATGATTGATGTGGCAAAACCTAGGCTGAAGCTTGAGCCACGGGGTTGATGTTTATAATTCCCCCAATCCCAACGGTTCGTTGACGTGACAATAATTTGGATAAGGGTATAATCGAATGGCGCACTATTTCTCCGCGATTCATCGCGATGACGACCATCCGAGATATCCGGAGTCGGAGCTGTGTACCACGCGGACATCCTTTCAGCCGCCTGCCTACAATGTGCAATCGTCAACCGTACGGCGACGCAACTCCCGAGGGCTTTCGCTAGCCGTTCCTACGATTCCATGTGTCCAACTTGTCGGTGTCTAGGAGGCGACCGGTCGTTCAGGGAGCGGGCGGCATCCAGAACACGGGGGCGCCCTCGAAGTTCGAAAATGTGGCGAAGGCCTGCCGATTCATCAGCACATGGATTTTAGAATGCGCGAAGGTAGCGGTATACCGAAGAGTCTAGATCTAACCAATCCGTAGTCTCCCAGCCTGCCAGAAAGTTGGTCATGCCTTCGAAGCCCTGTGTCTGGAACACCGCGCCCATGTCGCCCGATTGTGCCACGCCGAGTGCCGAAGGGTCGTCAACTTGCATCGGATCCGCTGCCTGTCCACTCTCAGCCTGTTCAGAGGTCGCTCCTTGTTCCGGTCCTCGTTGTCTGGCTTCAGGCCCCTTGGCCTCTTCTCGCAATTCCTCCAAGATGACGCTGTACCGCCTGCTCGGGCTGTCGGACGTCGTAGCTTTGGCCAGGTGGTTTTGGCATCGGTCCGCGAGCTCGAAAAGTCCTTTGTCCTCGTCGTCTCCTACCCTTTGTATCTTCCAGACATAAACCACAGCCAGAGCGCAAAAAGTGACGTAGGGTGTCCACCAAAACGCATGGAACAAAGTTCCGTCGCTGGCCATCGCGTCGACTGTCTCGAGTGCGGTCTTGGCGGCGTTGATACATTCCTCTACACTATCGTCGAGCGCAGACGGCTGGCTGTCTCCTCGAGAGGTCGTTGTGCCGAGAAGGAATGGACGGTTGGCGTGCATGATGGCGTGACAGTATGCCAGCTTCAGTGCAGTGTTTTGTCGCCTAAAAGATGGAATCAAAGACATCGGGCGGACGGTGCCAAGGTGATGCGGTAGAGATTCGCGCCACTCGTGAAGAGCGCGTCCGTATCGGTGAGCGGCCAAGAGACGATCGTGTTTCGGTATGGGTTTGATCGAGTACACCTCGCGCGAAATCCCGTCAATCAGCTGGGCAAGCTTCGCATGGAAGATGAGCGATTCAACGTGGCAGTCCATTTCGGGTTCGTCGCTCGATCTGCCCTGGGGAGTCATGTCTTCGTCGTTGACGCAGTCGGGAAAATCCTGATCAATGTCTTCGTCGTGGTACATTCTCGGACGACCAAACACTACCGCGAGGTACTTGTCGATGGTGTAGGCCACCCAAAAGGTTCTCTTCCGACATTGCGACGTAATGTAGTCGACTGGAGGGGCCTGGCCGTTGCTGGCTCTCTTGCGACTTGCTTTGCGATGCAGACCCAACGCCGACACGATAGGTAGTACACTGCCAAATGTGTACCAAGCCTGGTTCATACGTGACGTCTGCAACAGGTACAAAGTCTGCAGTAGCCGCGCCTGGGCGGATTCAAGCTTTGGAAGGCCTGTTTCCTGGTCCGTTAAGCCCGTGGCTCGGCAGAAGTAGGAATCGCTGCGTCGTAATTCGGAAGCCTCGTCTGGTGATGGCTCGGTGCCCCTTACCTTGATTTTGCGCAGAGTGACGATGGCAAGGATGGTCAGGACAATTGACGCTTTAGCGTGGCCAATGTCACGGTGTAACGGCACATTGTCTAGAGCGTTTGTTAATAGGACATTAAACCATTCAACCACGTAGCCCTGGTGCAGACAGCGGTAGGTCACCACGCAGACATCGAAATAGAAGCGCATCATTTCCAGGCCGACTGATCGCTCGGGTAGCGGATGGCTCTCGTGAGTTGCTGATGCAAAGGGCTTGTCGCCTGCCCTTGTCATGGTTTGGTGCTGTTCGTTTGTACTAGAAACATGGGGAACGACGCCACCAGCTAGTTTCTGGGATGACAAACGTTTCCATGCGCGGTGGAGGAAGGTTAAGCTTGACGTGGTGTCGAAGTACTGCCCCTCGATCTCGGCGATCTCTACCTCTGGCGACGCCCTCGACACTGGCTGGAGGACGCTCTCCTCGACGGCTGGCGAAGATTCAAGGGTAATGGGCTGCTGCGAAGGCCTTGCTCGAGGCGTACCGGTAGCGACAGGACTGTAGTTTGTGAGCCTTCTTTGCGCATTGCGTGCGCGCATAAGCCAGAGGAGCACTTACTATTGCGTCTGGTAGGATGCTGGCACTAACCTGGCGTCGGTCGTTGGGGTTGCAACTTCGACTCCAGCTGACGGAGCCGGCGGTGGGGTCGGGGGCCTCCCGCGACGGTAGCTCGCATCGTAGATGCAGGCGAGACGCTTCTTGGTGCAGACGTCGCAGGGGATGGTGCCGGAACACTTCAGCTTTTTGGCCTTGCAGTAGTCGCATGCGCGGCTGACTTTGTGGCTCCGTCGGCGGTTTGCGGCGGAAGCCACGGCGGAAGAGGGTAGAACTGGAGACACGGACGGACCCGACTCCGACTCCTCGCGGAGGTAATGGCCGGAGGAGGGTCTTTCGGGTAGTGGGCGCGACCTCCGGGAGGATTCCGACGGCTCGGGGGAGGGGCCCGTACTTGGACGACCTTCAGGCAGGGTGCGCTTCTTGCGGGATGATTCCGGGGGTTCAGACAGGGTCGGGCCGTCGTCAGGACGTCCCTCCGGCAGTGGGCGCTTCCTCCGGGATGGCTCGGAGGCCTGGGACTCCGACTTGCCGTCGTCGTCCGCGGGTCGACCTTCGGGGAGTGGGCGTTTCTTCCGCGGAGGTGGCTCCGTTGGGGTGCCGCTCGAGGGCGACGGCTGAGAGACGTTGGACGACGGGGTGGGCGCGGTGCTGATGGATCCAGCTGGTTCTCGGGTACGGGCATCGGGGGGCGCGGTGGATGGTGTTTGCTGTGTTGTTGGTGTAGGCGGATCGGGGTTGTCTGCCATGATACTCTGGACGGTCATGGAAATCCGACCCTCCGAC